GAGGCGGAAGTTATAGTGAGCCGAGATTATGCCATTGTACTCCAGCCTGGGCAACAGGAGTGAAACTCTGGCTCAAAAAAAAAACAACAGAAGAAGATGGAGCATGGAGAGCAGGATTGCAGTTCTGACCTCTAAGCTAATTGGCCTCACAGGAGAAGTATCTCCCCGAGATGGAGGATTGCTGCTCTGACTGTGTTCACCTATCTCAGACAAGCACAGGGTACGAAGTGGAGAAAAATCTAGCAAGTTCATAAAATAGGAATAAGTGAGAAGTCTCAACTCCAGATTACTCAAAGAAGTGGGCCAGATGTGACAAAATGCAGTAAAAGTAAGGAATGGGCAGACTGAGAGTGAGCCTGTGGCTGTAAGGCAGAGCCTGGAGGAGCTGGGAGTTGGCCTGGCAGAACGGAGGGAAGATGCTCCAGGCAGTGCCAGGCAGTGGAAGCAAGCACACTGGGTGTGGAGAAGCAGCATGCTTGGGGAATTACATGGAATTTACAACTGCTGGAAGATGAGAATTAAGGGACTGTGGTATGATATGATGCTAAGGACTTTCTGTGACATGCTAAGAAGTTTGGACTTTGTACTGTATATTGTAGAGGCTGTTTTTGTCGTTTTTATTATACTTTAAGTTCTAGGGTACATGTGTACAACGCGCAGGCTCGTTACATAGGTATCATGTGCCACGCTGGCCTGCTGCACCCATCAGCCCGCCACTTACATTAGGTATTTCCTCCAGTGCTATCTCTACCCCCACCCCCAACTCCACGACAGGCCCTGGTGTGTGATGTTCCCCACCCTGTGTCCAAGTGATCTCATTGTTCAATTCCCACCTATGAGTGAGAACATGCAGTGTTTGGTTTTCTGTCCTCGTGATAGTTTGCTCAGAATGATGGTTTCCAGCTTCATCCATGTCCCTGCAAAGGTTGTCAACTCATCCTTTTTTATGGCTGTATAGTATTCCATGGTGTTTATGTGCCACATTTTCTTAATCCAGTCTATCAGGTTTTAAGAGTGGATATGTTACAGGAGTGAGGCAGGAGGAAAGGTGACATCAGATTTTTATTTTAGAATAACAGTTTGTTATGTATTTGGAGATGGGGCTAGCTTAGCTGGCTGCAGTGTAACCAGTTAGGGCCTATTTGTTGTAAATTAGATGAGTGTTGACGGGGTCTGAACTAAGATATAATTGTGTAGGGGAGAGGAGACTGATTTGAGATTTTTTTAGGAGACTGAATCGATAAAACTTGGTGACTTCCAGGATAGGTAGCGTGAAAGACTTCTTCCAGATTTCTTTTTTTTGACGGGTCTTGCTTTGTCACCCAGGCGGGAGTGCGGTGGCGCAATCTCGGCTCACTGCGACCTCCACCTCCTGGGTTCAAGCAATTCTCCCGTCTTAGCCTTCTGAGTAGCTGGAACTACAGGCTCACGCCACCACGCCCAACTAATTTTTGTATTTTTAGTAGAGACGGGGTTTCACCAAATTGGCCAGGCTGGTCTTGAACTCCTGACCTCAGGTGATCCACCTGCCTCGGCCTCCCAAAGTGCTAGGATTACAGGCATGACCCAGCCTGCTTCCAGGTTTTAACCTGAGAATTATGTGGGGAGTAATGCCATTGATAATAACAAAAAAGAAGACATCTGAGTGCCATGTGCCTAGCCCTGCGCCAAGCTCTTTGTATTCTCTGATTTCATCCTCACAACTCCCAGGGAAGTGGGTGTTGTTATTCATCACCATTCTTTGATTGAAGAGGTTGGTGCTTAGAGAGGTAAAGTGACTTGCCCAAGGTCACACAGCTAGTGGCTGCAGAGCCTGGATGTAAGTCTGGCCTGACTTCAAAGCCCACATTCTAGGCCACTCTGCTGTTCAGCCGTTTGCACAGTTTTGTCTCAGAGTCTTTCCTCATTTGAGCACATCAGAAAGATGTTAGAAGTGGGACCCAGGCAGGCTGAACTAGAGGCTATACTTTGTTTTGTATTTTTATTTTTTTGAGATGGGGTTCTCACTTTGTTGCCCAGGCTGGAGTACAGTGGCACGAACACAGCTCACTGCTGTGTCAACCTCCTGGGCTCAAGTGATCTTCCCGCCTCAGCCCTGCAAGTAGCTGGGACTATAGGCTCGTGCCATCACATCTGTCTACTTTTTGTGTTTTTTGTAGAGACAGGGTTTTGCCCTGTGGCCCAGGCTGGTCTCTAGCTCCTGAGCTCAAGTGATTGACTCGCCTTGGCCTCCCAAAGTGTTGGGATTACAGACGTGAGCCACTGTGCCTGGCCATGTGTTTATACATATATGCCATATATATATATAGTCCTTGTATATATTATATATCTATATTACATGTAGATATAATATATATTATTTATAGATATATATTATGTAATTTATAGCTATAGATATATATTATATAATGTATTAGATATTTATAGATCTATATAATATATATAAATGGCATATATATAGTACTCAACATCATATTTTATATATATATACATACACACACACATATATATACACACACACACACACACACACATTTTTTTTCTTAGAGAGACAGAGTCTCAAAGCGATCCTTCTGCCTCAGCCTCCCAAAGTGCTGAGATACAGGTTTGAGCCACCACACCCGGCCTAGAGGCTACACACTGAAGCATGTGCTAGAAAGTGGAGGAGGAGAAATAGGTTTAGAGAGAGAGATGATGAATTCAGTTTTAGACTTGTTGAAATTGAGGTGTCTGCTAGATACCTTGCATCAAGACAGAAAATACAAACAATATATTGTTTGTATATGATGTGTTATAAGTAAGTGAGAAGACCAGGGTGAAGAGAAAATAAAAGGAAAATGTAGGCAAAGTGAAATTAGTTTTATGTGTGACTCACGCCACGCGTCCTGTGCTCTCACTAGTCCTGACCTTTCTAACAAAAAACACAGGGAGGGAAACCCTATCATTGAGCAACTCTAGACGTGGAGGTTGGAGGTCACAGCACAGATTTGATTGAAGTTGGGAGAGTAGGTGAGATTTCCTGGGAGAATGTCCAAATCAGTGATTCTCCATCTTTGAAGTACACAAGAGTCACCTGTGAGGCTTATTTAAAATGCAAGTTACTGGAGTCTACCTCAGAAAGCCTGATTCTGGGGGTCTGGAGTGGGACTGTGACCAGCACGCGACCCAGGTGATTCTAAAGCAGGTGGACCCATGGCCAACTTGAGAAATTTGGGAGTGAAATATCCAGAGACAGGCTGAGAAAGCTCCAGATGAGTTTTAAAATGGATGTGTGCAAACCCTAAGGATTAACAGGATAATCCACTGGGTGCAGAAAGAATATAGAGCTTCAACTTATGTTTTAATCTCAACTTTAGTTTTATTTAAATATGTTTAAAGTGTGTATTTTATTCATTTGGTAGGCAATTTAAGTGATTTATAAATAAATTCATATAGTTAGTAGGTGATGGATTCCAGGTGTGAACTTGGGTCCACTGCTTTGAAATCCTTTGTTCCATGACACCATACTGCCTGAGAAGTAAAGTTCTTCATTCATTTCATGTGGTTAATGGAAGGGTAGGAACTCGAATTTCACACACTTCTCCCAGTCCTGTAATTCCAGTGTTATCCGCCATTCTTAGTAAGAGGCGTGAGGTCTTGGAGTTAGGTGAGAGGATAGCCCATCTGACCTATTTGTAAAGGTCAGTTGTTGCATTGCCCTGTCTTTTAAGTGTCCCTTGTTTCTCGAAGGCTGGAAGAAAGAAACGATTTCCTTCCTGCATCTTTTGCTGCCAGGAATGAATAAAGCAGAGGAGTTTGTGCTTCTAATCTACTTCTTCACAAAGGGAAAGATTTGTCATGCTTCTTTGGAAATGGGACTGAATTCTGATGTATTAGCTTTTACATATGAAAATTTTATTTTAATTCCTTGAGTTTGAGTAATAGATAATACGGGAAATCTAGTGTCATATAGGCTCAGAATATCTGCTCTGTTCAGTATCAAACTTATCCTTTGCATACTCTCTTCTTCCTGTTTGTTTTTAATTTTGGCCAATGGTACCACGGGTTCTTGGCCCCCATGTCCAGCCCAGCTAGTCTGGAAATCCAGTCATTTCCGCCTTTTTAGTATTGTATGTCTCATCTTTAGTATATCATCTGTGCTGTAAGTCTTATACCACAATCCTGTTTAGAATTCTCCAGGAAGGCCAAGTAAACTAGAAAGGATAAAGTTGAAACTTGTTAGCATAGCACATGTTGTCCTTCCTGATGTGGCTGTAGCCTGCCTTTCCAGACTAATCTCTTTCCACTTCCTACTCCAGTGTATTTTATTCCTGCTTCAAGTAACAGGAACAGCTCCTCTTTCTTCATCTCTGCATTTACTTTTTCCTGTATCCCGATTTTTCTTTTTCCTGGAAAATTTTTATTTTTTCTTTAGGGTTCAATTTAAGGGAATCACTTGTATGAAACTTTCCCTTTTGTCTTCAGGTAGAGGTAAGCATACATTCCTCTGTAATTCCATCATGCCTTTATGTATTCACACTGTGCGAGGTATTTTTGTGCAGTTATCTTATTTTCTTAATTTATCTTTTTGTTTTTGAGAGAGTATCATTCTGTCGCCCAGGCTGGAGTGCAGTGACGTGATCTTGGCTCACTGTAATCTCCACCTCCGAGGTTCAAACCATTCTCCTGCCTCAGCCTCCCAAGTAGCTGGGATTACAGGTTTGCACCATCATGCCCAGCTAATTTTTGTATTTTTAGTCAAGATGGGATTTCACCATGTTGGCCAGGCTGGTCTCAAACTCCTGACCTCAAGTGATCCGCCTGCCTCGGCCTACCCAAAGTTCTGGGATTACAGGTGTGAGCCACCGTGCCTGGCCACTTTTTCAATTTATCTTTAGGCTATTTTATTAGCAGATGATTTCTTGGTAACTAGGACCATTTACTTCCAGGATTAGATGGCATTTTATTCAGTTAAACTTGTCAAGCAAGAATAAACCTCTTTCTTCTTCTTATTTCCCTAGTATCGATTTTATGGAGAACCTGTAATAAAAGCGTGTGTTGAAAATGGAGCCAGTTGTATCGACATCAGTGGAGAACCTCAGGTATATAAAATGAAAAGGAAACAACGTAGAATTAACACATACATTTCTGTTTCATGAAGTGGAAATATTTAGTGCAATTTTGCAGACATATTGAGAAGCCGACAGCTCCTCTCTAGCATTCAGAGATGGGATGCGTATGGTATTCCATTGATAGCTCAAAGGAGAGCACCGATGGTAAGGTCTTAGCTTCAGTTTTCTTGAATTTTTTTCCTCTCTACAACATCATTTCTTTTAGGTCTGTGCTTATGATAGCTACTTCATGCTTTAAACTGAATCAATTAAAATAGCAAACTGTGCATAACTCTTAGAATCTCACTTCTGTAAGGTTTTAATTTTGAATTCCCTTTTAAAAACCAGGTACCTTTAGGCCAGGCACAGCGGCTCACGCCTGCAATCCCAGCACTTTGGGAGGCTGAGGCGGGTGGATCATGAGGTCAGGAAATCGAGACCATCCTGGCTAACACGGTGACACCCCGTCTCTACTAAAAATACAAAAAATTAGCCGGGCGGGGTGGCAGGCGCCTGTAGTCCCAGCTACTTGGGAGGCTGAGGCAGGAGAATGGCGTGAACCTGGGAGGCGGAGCTTGCAGTGAACCGAGATCATGCCACTGCACTCCAGCCTGGGTGACAAAGCGAGACTCTGTCTCAAAAAAAAAAAAAAAAATCAGATACCTTCATAACATTACATAAAAATAAAGGTAAAGTTCACTAGTGTAAAATCAACCTAAAGATTTTAAATGTTCACATTTATTGAATGCTTACCATATGCCCAACATTGTGCTAAGTGTTTTATGTAACTTTTTAAAAAATACGTATAGAGTAGTTATCTTCCTCCATTTTTTATAGATGAGGAAATTAAAGCTGAGGAAGCTTAAATAACTGGCTCAGTAATGCATCTAGTAAGTAGAAGAACTAGATCTTCAATTGAGGTTTGCCTGACCACAGGAAGTTATGTGTTAACAGGCATTAAGCTCTTCTTCAGCCTTTAAAATGGTAACATCATGTGTCTCTGTAGTAACTACTGATTATCATCATCAGTGTGCCAATATGATACTAATATGTATTTGCAGTTTATCAATTGGTAAAATACTGGAAAATACTGAGAAAGTGTAAATTACCAAAATTGATTCAAGAAGGAGGAGGAAACAAATTAAAAAAAAAAAAAAAGCCAGGTGAGGGGGCGCACACCTGTTATCCCAGCACTTTGAAAAAGGCCAGGTGAGGGGGCGCACACCTGTTATCCCAGCACTTTGGGAGCACTTTGGGAGGATGACTTGAGCCCATGAGTTAAAAAATTAGCCAGGAGTTGGTGGCACACACCTGTGGTCCCACCTACTCAGGAGACTGAGACAGGAAGATCACTGGAGCCTGAGAGGTCAAGATTGCAGTGAGCTATGATCACGCCACTGTACTCCAGCCTGGGCAACGTAGTGAGACCCTGTCTTCAAAAACACAAAACAAAAACAAAAAACAATTCCCGTGTTATTTAAAATAACCCAGAGCGTGGTGAAAACCTTTTAAGTCATCTATAAACTATCATAAAAGTAGTATCAAATCTCTTGTTTTTTGTTTTTTGTTTTTTTTTGATACAGGTCTCTCTCTGTTGCCCAGGCTGGAGTGCAGTGGTACGATCTTGGCTTACCGTAACCTCTGCCACCTGGGTTCAAGCGATTCTCCCGCCTCACCCTCCTGAGTAGCTGGGGGTACACGTGCACACCACTACACCTGACTAATTTTTGTATTTTTAGTAGAGACAGGGTTTTACCTTGTTGGCCAGGCTGGTCTCGAACTCCTGGCCTCAAGTGATCCACCCACATCGGCCTCCTAGAATGCTGGGATTACAGGTATGAGCCACTGTGCCCAGCCATAATATCAAAACCTAATAAGGGGTTGGGCACGTTGGCTCATGCCTGTAATCCCAGCACTCTGGGAAGCCAAAGTGGGCGGATCACTTGAGGCCAAGAGTTTGAGGCCAGCCTGGCCAACATGGCGAAACCCCTTCTCTACTAAAAGTACAAAACTCAGCCAGGTTTGGTGGTGCATGTCTGCAATCCCAGCTACTCAGAAGGCTGAGGCATGAGAATCACTTGAACCCGGGAGGTGGAGGCTGCAGTGAGCCAAGATTGAGCCACTGCACTCCAGCCCGGGCAACAGAGTGAGATCTTGTCTCAAAACAACAACAAGAAACCTAATAAAGAACCAGAGGGCCGGACTAGGTGGCTCACGCCTGTAATCCCAGTGCTTTGGGAGGCCGAGGCGGGCAGATCACGAGGTCAAGAGATCGAGACCATCCTGGCCAACATGGTGAAACCCCATCTCTACTAAAAATACAAAAATTATCTGGGCATGGTGACGCACGCCTGTAGTCCCAGCTACTCAGGAGGCTGAGGCAAGAGAATCACTTCAACCTGGGAGGCAGAGGTTGCAGTGAGCCAAGATCATGCCACTGCACTCCAGCCTGGTGACAGAGCGGGACTCCATCTCAAACAAAAAAACAAAAAAACCCAGAATATATAAAGAATTTTTACAGGTCAATAATAAAATAAAGACAATTTATTTTTAAAATGGGCAGGGGATGTAATCTCAGCACTTTGGGAGGCCGAAGCAGGTGGATCACCTGAGGTCAGGAGTTTGAGACCAGCCTGACCAACATGGAGAAACCCTGTCTCCACTAAAAATACAAAATTAGCTGGGTGTGGTGGCAGGTGCCTATAATCCCAGCTACTCGGGAAGCTGAGGCAGCAGAATTGCTTGAACCTGGGAGGTGGAGGTTGCAGTGAGCCGAGATCACGCCATTGCACTCCAGCCCAGGCAACAGTGCGAGACTCCGTCTCAAAACAAAACAAAACAAAAAGGGCAGGGGATGAGAAGAGACAAATCTTCTGTGTGGAAGAATTCCACATAATTTATGTAACTTCTCCACATTGATGTGCAAGCAGCTGTGTGTGTGACTGTGTTAATGTGTTTGTGTGTATGTGTGAGTGTAACTGTGTTAGTGTGACTGTTAACGTGTGTTTGTGTGTGCATGAGCAAATGTGTGTGTGATTGTGTTCGTGTTTGTGTACGTGCATGAATGAGTGTGTGTGCATGTGGTGTGTGTTTGTGTCTGTGTTTGTGCCTGAACAGGTGTGGTTGTGTATGTGTGTCACCCTCTGGAAGAGGAAGCATAAATTGACAATGGAGAAACCTGATGAACCCTGGTAAATCATGTTGACAGTGCGTAGTCCTGATATGATATGATATATGATATGATATGAAATGAATAGCACTTTACCCCTGTGGTCTCTTTCCAAAACCCATAACCCCAGTTTAATAATGAGAAAAACATGAGACAAATTCCAGTAGAGGGGAACTCTACAAAATGCCTGACCAGTACTCCTCAAAACCATCAAGGTTATCAGAGACAAGGAAAGTGTGAGAAACTATCGCAGCCAAAAGAAGCCGAAGGATACATAACAACCGACTGTAATCCTGGATGGGATCCTGGAGCAGGAAAAGGGGTTCAGTAAAAACTAAGGGAATCAGAATGAACTGTGAACTTTAGCGAATTAAATCATATGTCAGTATTGGTTCATTAATTGTAACAACCGTTCATGTAAAATATGTTAAAAATAGAGAAAACTGGGCTGCAGGGTACTTGGGAACTCTCTCCTATTCCATTTTTCTGTAAATCTTACATTGTTTTTAAAAAGTAATTTCTAAAAACAGGCGGAAGAGCAGAGCGGACGTTATTTCCCTGTGCCCTCTGCTGTCATCTCCTTTCCTGCTGTCTGTGCGTGTGCAGAGAGCTCTGTGTCTGTGACAGTGTTCATCTGGGTAATACTGTTTGGGGTAATTTGTTTTTACTTTCTATTTTTTATGTTTTATTTAATTTTTTATAATAGGCATTACTTTTATATTTAAAAGTCATTCTAAAAATACTAAGTGTCATCAAGTCAGGTGAGCATATCTTCCATGCCATCTGGTACACAGTAGATGCTGTATTTGCTGAATAAGTGAAAAAATATTGTGACAGTTAATATTTTGCTGCAGAGGCACACTGGTTAGCATTTTCAAAGTTTGATTGCTTTGTTTTTAAAGATAAATTATTTAATACTGGTCTATGTCTTTCTGCATAACTCTAATTAAAATTCTTATCCTGGATTTTTTAGTTTCTGGAACTAATGCAATTGAAGTATCATGAGAAAGCTGCAGACAAAGGGGTTTATATCATTGGAAGCAGTGGCTTTGACTCCATTCCGGCAGATCTGGGAGTCATATATACCAGAAATAAAATGAATGGTAATTATTGATCAATAAGCAATCATGGAACTTAACAGTACGGTGCAAGCGCTTCATGTTTGTAACTGTGGTGAACTAAAATCTAGTTGAGAAAAGAAACATAGCCATAAATGGGTAATATTAAAACACACGTTTTGTTTTTAATATAGCTGCACTTTTAATAAAATGCTATTGAGACTATTGTTGAGACATGGATAATACTGTATTTTACAGTGATATATTATTGTCTCAGTATAGTTTGGTTTGAGCTGTCAAATTTCTGGAAAACACCTTTGGCAACCATTATAAATTCAAGCTTGCTTTGTTTAGGAATCAGCACATTTTAAAGCATAATTTGTATATTATAGTTTAAAAAGGTTTTAAATTTTTAACCATCAAAGCTAGAAAGTATTGAACACAGAATTGGAGACAGTTATTTAATAATGGATAAAATAATGAATGTTACAATAAAACATTTGAAGTTACTAATGTTTTGCATATTTACGAGTGTCTGGTTTAGAAAATTCCCTGAGCAGGCTGTGGTGGCTTGCTCCCAAGTCTTAGCTACTCGGGAGGTTGAGGCAGCAGGATCTCTTGAGGCCAAGAGTTCAGGACCAGCCTGGGCAACATAGCAAGACTTGTCTCTAAAAAATAAAATAAAAAGTTAGCCAGATGTGGTGGTGCACACCTGTAGTCAGTCCTAGCTCCTCAGGAGGCTAAGGTAGGAGGATCACTTGAGCCCAGGAGTTTGAGGCTATAGTAAGCTGTGATTGCACCACCGCACTCTAGCCTGGGTTACAGAGTGAGACCTTGTCTCTTAGAAAAAAAGCAAAAAACAAAACAAAACAAAACAACAACAACAACAAAACAAAAAACAAACCTGAAACAGGTAACTTCAGTGCCATATAAAGTGTTCTAGACTTAAAAAATTGGAAAATGTTCCAGCGTATATTAAAAAGCATAACTGTGAAACCAAAGTCCAACAAAGATAGCACACACACACAAACTACAGATCTTGCTTGCTTGTGAAATTAGAAGTAAAAAGAAAATACTATGTAAAATTTTAATAAATCCAGTGTCATTTAAAAAGTTTTTTAAGAGACAGGATCTTGCTGTGCCACAGCTCACTGCAACGAACGCCTGGACTCAGGCAGTGCTCCCTCCACAACCTCCTAAGTAGCTAGGACTGCAGGCTTATGCCACCATACCCAACTAATTTTATAAAATTTTTGTAGAGATGGGGTCTCACTATGTTGCCCAAGCTGGTCTTGAACTCCTGGCCTCAGGTGATCCTCCCACCTTGGCCTGGCAGAGTGCTGGGATTTACAGACGTGAGGCACCATGCCCAGCTCATCCAGTGGCATTTTAGAAGAACAATATATTGAGACCAAGGTTTAGCATTAGGAAGTTATATAATCATATCAGAGGTGAGCAGCTATGTGCCCATCTCAAAAAATGATTTGAAAATTGAGAATTCACACCATTTAGTGATTTTACATTTTTAGGAATAGAATAGTTTCTTACATAATAAATTTCAGGGCTGGGCGTGGTGGCTCACGCCTGTAATCCCAGCACTTTGGGAGGCCAAGGCGGTTGGATCACCAGCCTGGCCAACGTGGTGAAATACTGTCTCTACTAAAAATGCAAAAAAAAAAAAAAAAATTAGCAGGACGTGATGGCGGGTGCCTGTAGTCCCAGCTACTCGGGAGGCTGAGGCAGGAGAATCGCTTGAACCCGGGAGGTGGAGGTTGCAGTGAGCCAAGATCACGCCACTGTACTCCAACCTGGGCGACAGAGCAAGACTCCGTCTCAAATAAATAAATGAATGAATGAATGAATGTCAGAAGGCAGTAGCCTGTATCATACGTAATAGTTAAACACTAGAACCATTCCAATTAAAAAGGGAAATGTGAATTGAACATCTTCAAAATATTCATTGTTCCAATCCTTAGACCTAATATGTTTCCATTTATTAAAATAATTCTTTAAAGTCTGTGAAGTTTAGTTTTTTTCACGATAATCCTGTTTCTTGAGGTTGTTCTCTGCTTTTATTTGAATAAGACTTTTTCCTTCGTAAGGGAGAAATATTAGTTTAAGGTTTGTGTAAACATTTTTTTTGGATACTGAACGCTAGAAGTCAGCGTTTTAGCGAGGACCCCAGCTGATCGTTGATGCGGGTGGTCCACTTTCATTAGATTACTGCTTTAGGTGTTCTGTGTTCTTTCTGTGGATGGGGTTAGATCACAGAGCCACATACCCAGGCCACATTCTTTTAGTAACCATCAGAATCGCCTCTAGTAAGTTATATTTGAATGATCTGTTTTTTATTTTTGTCTGTGGCCAGACTAATGACATTTACCTGGCTGTAGTTCTCTTCTGCTGTAACAGCTTTGTTGATTATGTGGTTATTTATTATTTTGCTTGGTGTCAACTTTGTAAGGCCCCATGTTTTAATTTTCTCTTAGAATTAAAAGCAGGAACATTGTCACTTAAGGAATGCATATATTTCATTTATCAGATTTTGAGAATTAACCAGCCATTATATTTTTCTTTTGCCTCATTGTTCTTGAGAAACTCAATAATTAAGTAAATGCTTAACCACTATGCCTGCATATTAGTCTTCATGGTTAATAATACTTGATGTCTGCTTTTTCCTGGCTTGGTTTCCAATTTTTATTTTATACTTATTTTTATTTCATTTTAGTAGTCTTAGTGTTTTATAAGCTATCACAAAGGGTGTTTTGATAGTTTTTGTGTACATTCATTGTAACCCACTGTTAATAAGCCTCTTGAAAGCTGTCATATTTTAAAGCAGAATAATTCCCATGGATCTAACTTCTTTCTTCTTCTTTCTTTTTTTTTTTGACAAGCTCTTGTTCTGTTGCCTAGGCTAGGCTGGAGTGCAGTGGCGCGATCATAGCTCACTGCAGCCTTGGGGCTCAAGCAGTCCTCTTACCCCAGCCTCCCTAGTACGGTAGTAGTAGTAGTAGTCCCTAGGACTACAGATACATGCCACTGCGGCTGGCTAATTTTTCTAAAAAAGTTGGGGGCCAGAAATCCCAGCACTTTGGGAAGCCAAGGTGAGCAGATCACAAGGTCCGGAAATCGAGACCAGCCTGGCCAATATGGTGAAACTCTGTCTCTACTAAAAATGTAATCCCAGCTACTCAGGGGGCTGAGGCAGGAGAATAGCCTGAACCCAGGAGGCAGAGTTTGCAGTGAGCCGAGATCGCGCCACTGCACTGCACTTCAGCCTGGGTGACAGACTCCGTCTCAAAAAAAAAAAAAGAAGAGAAAGAAAGAAAGAAAGTGACCTCCTGCCTTGACCTCCTGAAATGCTGGGATTATAGGCCTGTGCCACCAGCATTCGAGTGAGCTCAATTGTTGCCTTATTGGGGGAGATTCTTACTGTCATCAGTTTTTAAATACTAGAAAAGATTTTGTCAGTACTAGCGAATAGAGTTTATGCTAGTCTACTCTTTCTGATGGTTTACCTGGCCATAGCTACTTCTTAAGTCTGTGTATAAAAACATAATAAAACTGTTATCTGTACAGATTTTCTATGTCAACTGTAGGCTTAGAAAAGCTAGTCTCTAAGTGAATAGGCATTGTTTATTATTACTTGTCCTAAATAATTTAGATTTTATTTTGCTTTTTACCATTCTCCTGCTCTTTTAGGTACTTTGACTGCTGTGGAAAGTTTCCTGACTATACATTCAGGCCCTGAGGTTGGTTTTCTGTTTGTCTTGTGTTGTTTCATGTTAATATTAAAAATATTTTGGAAATGACACGTGCGTCTTAAAACATATTTAGACTAACTTTTTATGTATGTGTAATTTTTAATGTGTGAAAGTCACCATGTTTAATTTTTTAAAAGATACCAAGATTACTTTGACTTGAAATATACATTATTTTCTTTTCATTTTATTTTATTTATTTATTTTTGAGATGGAGTTACGCTCTTGTCACCCAGGCTGGAGTGCAATGGCGCGATCTCAGCTCACCGCGACCTCTGCCTCCTGGGTTCAAGTGATTCTCCTGCCTCAGCCTTATAGGCGCACACCACCATGCCTGGCTAATTTTTTTGTATTTTTGGTAGAGACGGGTTTTGGTCAGGCTGGTCTGGAACTCTTGACCTTAGGTGATCCGCCTACCTCAGCCTCCCAAAGTGCTGGGATTACAGGCGTGAACCACCGTGCCCTGCTATTCTATTTTATTTTTTTGAGACAGAGTCTCACTCTGTTGCCCAGACTGGAGTGCAGTGGTGTGATCTTGGCTCACTCAATCTCTGCCTCCCAGATTTAAGTGATTTTCCTGCCTCAGCCACCTGAGTACGTGGGATTACAGGCATGTGCCGTCACACCTGGCTAATTTTTGTTTTTTTTCTTTTTCATTAGAGTTGGTATTTTGCTATGTTGGCCAGGCTGGTCTAGAACTCCTGGCCTCAAGTGATCTGCCCACCCTGGCCTCCCAAAGTGCTGGGATTACAGGCATGAGCCACTGCGCCCAGCCCCTAAAATATAATTTCTTCTAAAAACAACTGCAGTGTTCATTGTATTAGAATGAATTATCATGATCTCAACACTAAAGCCTTTATCATTGGTGCACAGTAAATGTTGTTGGCCAGAAAAATTTTCACCTTAGTGCAAGTCAGCATAGTTTTTATCCTGCACGTAACTTAGGTACTGTCATGACCGAAAAGAGGTATATGAGGTAAATCTAGTCTTACTGAATTTACAGTGTATTTGGTAACAGAAGACATTGACGTCGGGAACATAAGACAGTTGCATTTCTGGGAAAGGACCATGTTTTATGACAAGATTTTATTGCCGATAGTGCCTAACCCACTTCTAGGTCTGTACTGTGGCTTCCAAAGTATTCGTTCTAAATTATATTCATTCAACAAATATTGTATAGTAGTGCAAATGCATACAGTAACTGTGCAAGAGAAAATGGCATGTAAATGAATAAGATACAAACCCTGCCTTTAAAGTGTAATAATTTAGTTTGGCAGGAAAGAAAAAAATGTTTGTTACTGAAGAGATCAGATGAAATACTGTAGGATTCTGAGTATGGAGAATACATCTAAGAGTCCAGAGATCAAGAACTTTCTGGAGAAGCTGGGATATAGACTGAATTTCAAGGGCTGGTGCTGTGGAGATGTGAAGGAAGAGGAAATAGTGAATCAAAGACAAAGGTGGGGTGGTGCGGAATGTGTTTAATAAGAGGAATGACTGTCTTCGTCTAGATTGTGGGTTCAGATTAACAAAGAGCTATGTAAAATATGCTAACATTTGTGGTTACACAGACTCTTTAGTAGAGTATAAGTGTAGCAGGACAAGCCGCAGATAAAACCCCTCAGACACCGAGTTAAAGAAGGAAGGGCTGGCTGGGCGTGCTGGCTCACAACTATAATCCCAGGACTTTGGGAGGCTGAGGCGGGTGGATCATAAGGTCAGGAGGTCGAGACCATCCTGGCTAACACGGTGAAACCCCGTCTCTACTAAAATTACAAAAAATTAGCTGGGCGAGGTGGTGGGAGCCTGTAGTCCCAACTACTCGGGAGGCTGAGGCAGGAGAATTGCTTGAACCCAGGAGGCGGAGCTTGCAGTGAGCTTAGATTGTGCCACTGCACTCCAGCCTGGGCGACAGAGCAAGACTCCATCTCAAAAAAAGAAAAGAAAAAAGAAGGAAGGGCTTTATTTGGCCGGGAGCTTTGGCAAGACTCACACTCACATCTCCAACAACCGAGCTCCCCGAGTGAGCAATTATTGTCCCTTTTAAGGGCTCACAACTCTAAGGGGGTCCGCGTGAGAGGGTCGTGATGGATTGAGCGAGCAGGGGGTACGTGACTGGGGGCTGCTGCACCGGTAATCAGAACAGAACAGAATAGGACAGAGATTTTCACAACGCTTGTCCATACAACGTCTGGAATCTATAGATAACATAACCGGTTAGGTCAGGGGTCGATCTTTAACCAGGCCCAGGGCGCCGCCCGGGCTGTCTGCCTGTGGATTTCATTTCTGCCTTTTAGTTTTTACTACTTCTTTCTTTGGAGGCAGAAATTTGGCATAAGACAATATTAGGGGTGTTCTCCTCCCTTATAAGAATAAAAATAAATGGCTAGGCGCAGTGGCTCACGCCTGTAATCCCAGCACTTTGGGAGGCCGAGGCAGGTGGATCACTTGAGGTCAGGAGTTTGAGACCAGCCTGGCCAACGTGGTGAAACCCCGTCTCTACTAAAAATAGAAAAATTAGCCAGGCCTGGTGGCGCATGCATGTCATCCCAGCTACTCAGGTTATGGAGACAGGAGAATTGCTTGAACCTGGGAGGCAGAGGTTGCAGTGAGCCGAGATGACGCCACTGCACCCTTGCCTGGGCAGCAGAGGCCCTCGTTATGCTCCCAGTGGAGGCAGTGTTGTTTGGGACAAAGGTACAACACTGAGTTTTATCGTAACAAACACCGCCTTTTTCGGCTACTATCATATCTAGGGCCATTCTGTTTTCCCAGGCCATCTGGCTAGTGGGCCCCAAGTGTTCTGCTGTCCCTTTGACAGTATCCCTGGTGTAATTAATAAACTACTGCTGATTATAATAGATGTAATTTATCCAGTCTTCGTTTTTATTAGTTGTCACCCATGAAAATATTGACTTAAATCCTGCAGCTATTTGATCTCAGGCTTTAAATTCATCTGGTTTTCCTCATGGAACTCCAATAGCATTTATATAAAACATGGGGGTCAAAGGACCCATGTGGGGCACTTCTTTCATGATTTTCTTTTTGATCGTGTTGACGGAATTCTAGGGTGAAAGGGATGGCCAGTTGGACTAGAGCACAAGTGCTGCTCTAATGACTTGCAGAGTACCCAGCAGTATCCCCCGCGGTACTGCCACACACCTGCTCAGGGATGAACAAGGGCAGACTGGTTGGCAAGCTCTTGAAGAGTCTTGGTTTCGCTGAACCCCCTGAAGTCTCCAGGGAATGCTAACTTTTCCCTCTGCCGTGAAAGGCACGAGGTGAAGTTAATATCAGGGGCTGGAGGCCAGATGGCCCTCGGGGGCTGCCCACAGGGCTCTTGACCTCAGGGAACAGCAATGAAAGAGTCTTGCATGGCTCACCGCCTCGGGCTGTGGGGTTCTGGAAGAGAGCTGCTGTACAGCTCACGCCATCTTGTGAGAGGACCACCCAAGTGGAAAGGGGACAATTTGGGTATCTAGCCTGACTGTTGCACAAGCATAACAGTTACTTTTTTTTTTTTAGCATGCAAACAGAATATTTAATCCATTCCAGCCAAGCATTTGCGTCCAGATACCCTGTTTCAATTGCTATAGTTGGTTTTAAATCTTTAACCTCTACGACAGCTACTGAGGTTTTATCGCTGGGTATATAATGAGAGAAGGTTTGGTTAGCAGAGAATTTAGGAGAGGGAGAAGGGGGTGCAGGATGTGAGGAGGCAATGAAGCTCATTTCGAAGGATCCTATGGGGTCCTTCCCTAGACTTCTGCTCCTACACCATAGAAATGGCCAATGAACTCTGGGGAGCAGAGGTGGTAATCTGTACTGGATTACGTTGACTTAGCTAACAATGGGGAGGGGAGACTCCTTCAGTAAAATGAATATATGGTTTTAAGAAACTGCAAGTACTAGTTGGGGCCGTCCATCCTTGCTCTTTGGTCTTTTATAGCGCATTGCACGCATTTCGGCAGAGAAGCTCTGCTCTAGGAGGACAAGATTCCCAGTTCATACTGGACTCTTCGTCAACGCCCGCCCAAACTAACTGATCTCAGTTAACAGATTTCCAGTCTGAGGAGAGCTAGGAAGGATAAAGATACTTTTCTGAAGTGGAGAGTTGCCTCTGGTTTGACACATCTTCACAGGGCATCAGAAGGCAAGCATCAAAATTAATGGTCTGGGGTGAACTTGACCTGGTCACACTAATAACGAGAGGACTAGCAGTAGAAGGGGAGAAGAAAGAGATGCAACGTAAGAGGTTCAAACCCGTTTTCGCTTTCGCTTTCGCTTGGTTGGAGTTGGCCCTGGAATAGCTGTCCATGATTCGGGAGGGGGTGGTGCTCCTTTGACCCAGGTGTGATGAGTTCTCTTTCTGCTGTTCGAACCGCGGTCTCCGTGGTGAGAAGCACTAGGTAGGGTCCTTCCCAAGCTGGTTCAAGTTTTCCTTCCCTTCAGCTTTTGACGAGGACATGGTCCTCATACTGATGGTGTACTGGAAACTCTAGGGGTGGTACCTGTGCTAAAAGACCTGTAGTTCTGAGGGAAGAGAAAGTGGAAGATAAACCAAATATATAATTTCTGAGGAACTGATCTTTTATTTTGATCGTGGGCATGTCAGCAGTGGAGGGCAAACAGGGCAAGCTATACAGCACTTCATAAGGGGATAAGCCAACATCTTTCCCGGGGGCAGTTCGGATTCTCAGCAGGGCAGTGGGAAGGCAGCTAGTCCATGGCACCCGAGTCTCTAAGACTAATTTGGTTAGGTGGCTTTTTTTAGAGTTTGGTTTTTTTCTTTCCACTCTTCCTGATGAAGGTGGGTGCCAGGGAGTATGATATTCCCACGAAATTACTCCAGTACCTGGGCTAATTTCTTCATGACATGTACAGTGAAATGAGTCCTATTATCTGAATCAATGCTTTCTGTTAATCTAAACCTGGGTATAAGATTTTCAGCTAATGCCTTGACTACATTTCTAGCAGTTGTACTTGAAAAG